TGCTGGTGCTGCTCTCCGCAGTGCTATGAATGCAGAAGTCGTACAAGTCCCAGACGAGGAGGCCACCGAAGAAGAGGTTGTAGCGATACTGAAGCAGTATCCCCGGGAAGTGGCCGAATTGACGGTTCAGTCCTTGCGAGATGGCAATGGACCACAGACTGTCGAGGTGAAGGAAATCGCTGGGCACTTTTTGATTCAGAATGTAGCGGCAAAGGGGGCAGCGAATGGGGGCAAAGATTCTATGGCACCATTCGGAAAGGTGGCTACACCAAAGCAGGAGAGGCACCAGCCATATACTCAGCTCGGCAGCCCTTAAGGGGACACAGGCCCACGGAAAGGAGGTCTGGGCGATCTGGAATGAAAGGCTGCAAGTGGCATGGGGGCCTTGGGCTGAACTTTTGTCTCTGAGTCTTGGCGGCTCAGAGTCCTTTTCCATTGTTCTTCCTTGTGCCCCTTTGTACAAGTCAGTGTTTGCCCAGTGAGCCCCTTCGGTGGATTAGATTGGACCAGATTTGCTAGTGGCCGGACCTCTCAAAGCCCTGCCTGTCCCAAATGTCGGTGGCAATAAGGTCTGCCGAGTTGCCAGCTCAGCCCAAGCATCCTTGTTTAGAGGCTGTTTGATTTGGCGCTGATAGGGATGACCAGGTTGATGCGTTGTTGGTTTTTGAAGAATGTTGCCTCGGTAATGAGACAAGTTGCGGAGCTGATGGTACAGATCCTTGGCGTTTGAGTACCGGGTACATCAAGCCCCTGCAGCTTCACATTGCTGAGTTGAAGACTTTGGCGGTTGTCTGTTTCGCCCTTGCTTGTTGCCTCCATAGGAGTTCTGCAGGAACTGGCCGCAGACGATTTGTCATTTTTCGAAAGGCAAGAATTGTTCGAGCCTTAGACTGTCTCCGAGGTGTAGTGGTTTTAGCACTTGGGTTGTGCTATGTCCTCAGGCTTTTCATTGCCTGGTTTGAGGGAGATTTTGGTGTGACGTATATATGCTCATTTAGGTGAGAGCCTCTGTCAATTTTGCGCCTGCAATCCCATCATGATTTGTTTAGGAGCAATGTGGGTTAGCCGACACAGATTGATCAGATTCGAGTTGCTGTTTTGCAGTGAGTATTATGTGAAGTCTCCTGCCAAGACAGCAGGGAAAAGTCGCATTCGCTGTGGACGTGGAAAGCTACCACCGACAAGAGCCCATACTCAAATGGCCGCGAAGAGGCCGCTATCGGCCTGCTGGCGCCGATTTGGGCTGATGACCTTGCAATATCATTTTCGGCTGAGCAATTTTTGACAGGCTCGCCATTGCCGGTCTGTCGCCTAACCTTGCCAAGGGTAAGACCGAGTTGATCCTGAACTGCCGGGGGAAAGGGTCCCTCGAAATCAGACGACAGCTTGCCAGCCAAGGACACGAGCTTCAGACAATATCCCGTCTTGTGCATGAAAAGCTTCGACTTACGGGAAGCTACAAGCACCTCGGCACATGGATTGAACTAAAGCAGGGCATCCGCAAGGATGTACAGACGAAATTCGCTGCAGCACATGTGGTCATTACAGGTATAAGAGTCAAATTTTTCACAACCGTATGTTGCCTCTAGAGAAAAAACGCCAATTTTACGAGTCATTGGTCCTGTCCACGATGTCTTTTAACATGGCTTTATGGCATGCGCCCACGAAGCGACAAGATCGACAGCTCTCGACGAGCTTCTCCAAGCTCCAGAAGCGGTTTGCGATCTTGTATTTGAACGTAATGCACTACAATGGTCCAACGAAAAGGTGCTTTCTGCAACTGGACTGCAGAGCCATGGGATCATTTTAGCAGTTGCCCGACTGAGATATGTTGGACGCCTCGTTTTTCGAGGCCAACTGCATACGTGGACACTTTTGAGGCAAGAAATGAGCTGGTGGAAGCTGGTCGAAAACGACATCGAATGGGTACAAACCTTTTGTCCAAAAGCGCAAGTTCCCTCGCCGGCGCATGAATGGACAGAGTGGTTTGAAATCGTGTCCACATCTTCTACCAAATGGAAGGCACTGCTCAAACGTGCTGCAGCTAGAAGCCAGGCCTTTTTCCAACGGAAGTGCGCTTGGGAGCAATGGCACGCAGAGATTCTTCTAGATGTGATGCAAACTGGAATATGCCCTCCTCCGCCGCAAGTTGAGGTCCAGAGCCAGCAAAACTGCTTGCAGTGCCGACGGGTCTTTGAGAGTGCATCAGCTTGTGCCGTTCACGCCTTCAAGCAGCACGACAGGGCTGCCCGAGCCCGTGATTTCGTGACCGGAGTAGTCTGCGAGGCCTGTTTGAAAGCTTTCTCTAGCCATGTTGATCTCATTAACCATATCAACAGAAAGACGGCTTGCTTCCGTAAATATAAAGCTCGTGGCCTCCAAGTTGAACGCGAGCCTGGAGCAAATAGTAAAAGGGCCAACAAGGATAGGAACGACTTACCAGAGCCTTTCATGCAGGCCAAAGGGCCACAGCCAGCTTGGGAAGGGCACCATGGAGCCCAGACAGTGGCAATGAGACAGAGAGTCTCCTTAGAAATCTTAGAACATGCCTGGAGCGACGCTATGAGCGGACAGATACATACTGCCCCGATCACTGAGGCGTTGCGGATAGCAACTAAGGAGACACACCTCTACCACAATGAGATTGTTGGGCTCTCGTGGAGTGAATCCTGGTTGCAGACACACGAAGACGCCCCACTCACAGTGCTTTGTGCCTTCCAGTTGTTCTTGGCCAACGCAAGTAGCTCATGGTTTCTGGACGGGCGGCAGCCGGTTAAGCAGATGCATGAGCGAGCCGGCTTTTCTTTGTGCACCCCGAAAGGGTGCGCTATAAGCCTAGAATGGTCGCGCACCTTTTTTCAGGTGCAAGGCGCCACCTCCATGTTCAGGCACACCTCGAGAAGCGTGGATTCCTCCATCGACATTATTTTCGACTCCAAGTGGGGTGATCTGAGCCGCGAAGAGACTTTTAACCTTTTCGCGGAGGCCCTGCGATTCCGGGCGGTCCAAGACCAGTCCGCAAGCGCGGAATGCCATGGGGGAATTTTGACCTGAGCCTACGAGAGCCCAGGCAGGTTACTATAGGTAGCCTCCTCCTAGGTATTGCAATACGTTTGATGTGGATCACCCTTACAGTGGGCGCCACTTCAATTTTGGAGCACCCGGCTGACCTCAGCCAAGATGTGAACCGACCCAGTATATGGAGACTCGAGATCATACATTTTTCCTGAGGTTCCCGCAGTGTGACAAGGTGGAGATTTTACAAGGCCATTTTGGTGGTATCACCCCCAAGCCCACTACGTTGTTCATTATCAACGGTGCTCAGGATAATGCAGGACTTCTCCACTCCTTGCGCACTACAAGTCTTCCCAAAGAGGCGGCACTAGGCCGTGACGAGGCCGGTAACTGGAAGACTGCCGCCCTGAAAGAATACCCGTCAGGGCTATGCAACGCACTCTGTTGCATAGTGGAAGAGGGCCAGGCTATGCATGGTCAGGAAGCCACTGACGACATCCCAGTGGCCTTTCTCGAAACTATAGGCGAGTTGACTAAGGATTTTGACTACTCTGCCGAGCGTGGCCTGGACTTCCATGTGTGATTGCATGAACTAGTAATTAGATGCCCTGGCCGCGGGCGAACGCCTATGGCCAGCAGAAGAGGAAAAGAGGTGCTCTTAGCCATTGAAAGGTTTCAGTTGGCCGAGAAAACCTCCGGATGAAAGAACAAAGTAGAATGTTCATGCCAAAGGCTCAGTCCGCACCACACTCCCCTCCCTTGTCTTCTCAATGTGCGTTCTACCATACTTCAGTTGACCTCTCATTCAAGTTGTGTTCGTTCCCCCTCCTACTTTACTGTAGACTGGGGTACGGTAAAGGACAGGGCTAAGTAGAATAGAATAGGAAGGAGTGGAGAAAGGTAGCGCATGCCAGAACTACTTCCCTGCTCAATTCTACTTCAGTTTGATTTACGCATCTGCCTGCGTTTTTCTCATGATCTATTGCCTGTACTCCACGATTTGTTTGATGTGATGATGTGACACATTTACACACATTTCACTACTCCGTGTTCCACTCTCTCTCTCTTCGCCTCTAGCCTACTCTCCTTACTTGTCAACAAACACTGCCCAAGTCAATACAAGTCAAACCCTGTCGAATCAATATTACATTGGAAACAGAAGGCATCATTATAGTATACAAGTTGATTGAAACAGAATTGCAAAGAATAATGCTTGTGCGGAATGACTCAAAAGAAGTGAGAAGATCCCGCTCCTTCTCGTAAATGTCTGATATTCTTGCGCTGCCTTGAAGCGGCCATTCCGACCCTTCCTTCTGGCTTTCATTTTTTCCTCGTGGCTCGATCTTTTGTCCCTTCTGATTTTATTTGTGTCACTTCGTGGCTCTCGCACAGAGCCCATGGGCACTACACCCCAGAACATCATGAATCAAAGAAGACATCTGCTAAAGCCTGCGTTGCTTGCCTCAACTGTTCCAATCAGTCGCATAGCACCAATGTCCAGGCCTACTTTCGATTCGTGCTTTGTGTTCATCAATGAGATCTTCCAGAAATTCGTCACCTCAGCACTGCAACAGCCCAGAAGCCCCAAAAAACTATCCATCTAGCAAGAGCTGTTTACAAAGTATTTTTCAATAGTTACAAGTTACTATACAGTTGCGCTATATAATGGGTTGGAGGCCATCGCTGATAGGTTGGAGGCCATCGCTAGTAGGTTGGAGGCCATCGCTAGTAGGTTGGAGGCCATCGC